CGGTTACGCTCCTGATCCCATGATCAGTGCGTCAGTTACGCGCTAGAGGCCTATAAATAGCCACAAGTAGCTATGAAGAAAAAGGGAGAGAGAAGCTAACAGGAACGGCACATATACAGAGCTAGAACTCACGTTCTGAGAGCTCTTTTGAGACCCGAACCTCGATTCTCATGATCTAAGCCATCAACAGAGGCTGATTCTCCTCTCAAGTTGAAGCAATATTGTTCTGATCATCAATAGGAAGCAAACTTGACTCAAGCATCGAGTGAGGCATCCTTCTGCCACACAGAACCCACGTTAAACAAAGGAGAAGTCAAATCTACCTTCTCTTCTTCTGTACTTAAGAAAGAGCGATTGTAAGGAGATTCTTACCAGGCGATAGGATCTCATTTTTTCATAACTAAAACAGTTAAGAAAATATCAATCGTTTCATCTTTTTCAAGACCCTACAGCTGCTCCCAAGTCCTTCATCTCAAGCTCATGTTTGAGTTAAGATTTCAGCTCATTGATTTCTGACATATCTTTAGTTGTAATCAACATATCATCAATATACAAAAGTAATACACAAAAGAACCATCATTGAGCTTTTTATAATAAACACAACTATCATATTTACTCCTAGAGTAACCATACTTAAACATGAAAGTATTAATTCTCAAATACCTCTGTCTCAAAGATTGTTTCAACCCATAAAGAGATTTCTTCAACCTACACACATTAATCTTCTTTTCCTTCAACAATGAACCCCTCTGGCTGATGCATAAAGATATGCTCCTCAAGCTCGTCATGTAGAAAAGTCGTCTTCACATCAAGTTACTCAAGCTCTAAATTAAAATGAGCAATCATGACAAGCAACACATGAATTGAGATGTGTTTAGTAACTAGAGAGAATACTTCATTAAAGTCTACACCTTCTGTCTGACTGTAGCCTTTAGCTACCAAGTGTGCCTTGTACCTTATAAAATCTGCATCTGGAGCTCCTTCTTTCTTCTTGAACACCCATTTACAGCCAACGATCTTCTGTCCCCTTGATGGCTTCACTAACTCCCATATCTGATTCTTGTGAAGAGACTTTATCTTTTCAGTCATCACAATAGTCTAATTTGTAGCCTCATTGCCACTAATAGCCTCCTTATAGGTAGAAGGCTCTGGAATCTTAATCGATTCTGCTATACTCAAAGTGTAAGCAAGCATGTCTGCATAGCGTTGAGGAGATCAGATCTGCCTTTTCGTTCTCCCAGTGGAAATATTATACTATTAATCTTACGATATATCAGCATCTGAAGTTGAACCTTTCACAATATCAACTGGTTCAACATGAGCGCCCTCAAGCACTCTTTTGGAAGTTGAGCTCTCTAGCTCCACCTGCTTGCTAGACTCCTTTTCAATACACGTGGTATCAATAATAAAATATTTTCTCGAGTAAAGCATAGATTTTTCATCAAAAGTAACATCCCTACTAATAATAAACATAGGTGATTTGGGATTGGAACACTATAATCTATATCCCTTCACCCTGATAGCATATCCTAGAAAGATAGCTTTCTTTGCTCTGGGTTCAAGCTTACCATCATTAATATGAAAATAAGTAGAGCAACCAAATACTCTTATAAGAGAGTAATTAGCAGAGGCACCAAACTATACATCTTCTAGAGTCTTAAAATTAATTGCTGTAGAAGGAGATCTGTTTATCAAATAGCAAGTTGTATTGACTGCCTCGGCCCAAAAGTCTTTTGACAAACCAGCATTAGAGAGCATGCACCAAGCTCTCTCTAAAAGTGTTCGATTTATTCTTTCTGCAACTCCATTTTGCTGTGGTGTATGCTGAACTGTACGATGACGCACAATACCTTCATTCTCACAGAATTGGTCAAACTCTACAGAACATAACTTCATCCCATTGTCGGTTCTAAGGCGCTTCACTTTCTTTCCTGTTTGTTTCTTAATCATAACCTTCTATTACTTGAAGGTTGCAAACACATCACTCTTATACTTCAAAAAATACACCTAAATTTTTTAGAATAATCATCAATCATTGTTAGCAGAAATCAAGCTCCACCTTTCAATAGAATATGAGAGGGACCACAAACATCTGAATGGATATAATCTAAAGTACCATTGGTTCTGTGGACACCGATACTAAAGTAAACTCTATGGTGTTTATCGAAAATACAATGCTCATAAAAGTCTAGCTTACTAGTTTTCTGACCACAAAGCAGACATTGTTTGCTCAATACATCTAGTCCTCTCTCACTCATATGCCCTAATCACATATGCACAAACGTGTAGTGTCAGAATCTGAATCCTTTGAGGATAATACTGTTGCAGCACCTTACACTATGCTACTTTCAAGGATATAAAGAGTATTTACCTTCTTTCCTTTCATCACAACAAGAGAGCCTTTACTAACTCTCAAAACTTCACCTTTAGTCGAAAACTTAAAACCATTTGAGTCAATGGTGCCTAAAGATATGAGGTTCTTCTTTAACTCTGGTATATGTCAGACATTGCTCAATGTTCTAATAATATCATCATGGGTTCTAATCTTAATTGATCCAATACCAACAGTCTTGCAAGGCAATTTATTTTCTAATAATTATATTCCCATCATTAATAGACTGATATGTGACAAATCAATCCCTATACGGACACATATGGTAGGAACAACACGAATTAAGGACCTACTCATATTGTGAACGAGTATTAACACTAACTGAAAGAACTTTGTGTCAACTAGAAGACTCTTCAGTTACAGTAGCAACTGAATGTTTCACCTCCCCAGACTTCGACTATGAATTATCCTTTGCTTTGAACGCTGGACAATTAGGTTTTATATGCACATACTTGTGACAGTAATAACATTTAACATTTTCTCTTGACCTGAACTTTGATCTAGACATATTTTTAGATTTACCTCTACCACCAACAACCTTTTTAAGACGACCATGAGCAAATAAGCCTTCAGCTTGATCCTCTCCTCCTACGACAGACACTTCATGCCTTAACTCTTTTGAATATAAGCCTGATTTGACATCCTCCAAAGAAAGTGTATCTCTACTGTATAACTTGCTATTAACAAAATTCTCGTAGGAAGGAGGTAATGAACATAACAAAATAAGGGCTTGATCTTCTTTATCAATTTTAACATCAATATTCTTTAAATCCATAAGAATAGTGTTAAGTTCATCTAAATGGTCTTTAATCTGTAAAGCTTCTTTCATGCGAAGGGTGAAGAGGCATTGCTCCAAGTAGAGCTTGTTCGTTAGAGATTCGTCATGTACAAGCTCTCCAACTTGAGCCACAAGCCGACGGTGGTATCTTCATTAGCAACCTCGCGCAGGACCTCATCGACCAAATAGAGTTGTATGGCACTATGCGCCTTCATCTCTAGCTCTTCTTTCTCATTATCGGACATAGATTCCGGTAACTTATCCTTTCTGGACAAGACTTTGAACAGTCCTTATTGTACTAGGAAAGCCCTTATTTTTACTCACCACAAACTGAAGTTGTTTCTCTCATCGAATTTCTCCACTTTTTATTTTGCAGAAGATATCTTGAAGCTCACTAGAATAGTAACTATAATTATAAGCAATAACCGTACTTGTGAACAGTGCCCTACTTGTGAATAGTACTAGTACTTATGAATAGTACCATACTCATGAATAGTGTCCAGTGTCTTTAAAAAGTAAATAATAATCTAACTTATTTTCTGATGTGGAGGATCCACTTTTAGTGACAGCCACAAAGCATATGATAAGCAGATACACGCACTCTAAGCTAGGCTCTGATACCAGTTTGTTACAGTGGGGGGCTTCACAGATATAAAAGATGTCTATACAAGAGTGGATAAATAACAACACTGAATAAATACAGTAGAGACAATGAGAATAACACACAAGGATTTAACATGGTTCGGTCAGTATGACCAATGTCTACGGGCGAGAACAGCAGAGAACTTTACTAATCATAAAAAAAAAATTACAAAGGGAGATCACTCTAATGTCTCACTAAACTCACACAAAGAAGAGAACACTCAAAGAAAACTCTCTTTTTCTTTTTCTTTTCAAGGCTCTCTTTCTTTTTCTCTCTGTTCCGAATCTCTTTTCGATGCTCCAACCCTTCACTATTCTCCTCTATTTATAGCCTTCAAAAAGGTTGGTGGAATAGTGTTTTTGGGTTTGGTGGAAGAGTAGTGTTTGGTGGTTCTTGAATTCAAAGTCAAAAAAATAACAACATAGATACGCACGGGGATAAAAGCCAGCCTCACATATGTAGTAAGGAAATTTAGAGTTCAAGTAAAAATAAAAAAACCAAATCAACTAGAACGTTCAGAGCCAAAAAAAAAAAAGGTTTATCATCAAAAGTATTTTCCCGAAATTAAATACATGACGATAGCATATTACATCACTTTAATCAATATAAGGTGTCATATATTATAATACATCAAATTGCTAGAATGAGCTGAAGCATTCAGGTTCTGATGAGTTAGTATCATCAGGAGTATGTGTATGCCTGCCCTCATATGTGGTGATAACCATGCGGCAATCTTCTGATAATCTCTCCACTTTTTTCTTTACTCGGCAATTATGATGTGTGCACCGAAAATAGCTCCTGTAATCAGAAGAAAAGATAGAAAGAATAATAATAAGTTTAGTTAACCATCAAGGTACTCTGAAATCTTCCTCCTATATATATATTAAGGTAGAAACTACAATGTACATGAAGACAAATAGTATGATATAAGATAGTGAGACCTCTATTAAAACTGAGGATGCATTCTTATTATTTAGTACATATATAAGGAAATAGAGTAAACTCGGCAATGAGGGAAAATTATAATGTACTGATAGTACATAAGTAGGTTTTTAAATGAACGTTTAGTATTATGATGCATGCGATGTCAAAAGCAAGCA